CTTTTTATCCATGCCGTTGTCATTTTATTTTCGACTTCTGAGTTTGAATGTTCCTTTGGTATCTTTCGCCTCTCTTTTTCAGTAGTCAGTACTTCGGTACTGACATGAATTATAAGAAACATTTCTTAAATTGCCCTTTTATAATTGGAAAATATTACGAAACAACAGTTTCTTAATAATCCCGCTGGCAAAGTTGACCTTAGATGGATTTGTCTATTATTTTTAGGTCTTTTTGGTCATAAAGCTCTTCAATTGTTTCGGTTCTTCTACACCCTTGGCTTCTAAATAATCGGCTTTGAATGGCCTTGGTGAAGGTCAATCCAGAAAAGCGTTTCGAACGCATGACATTTATAAAGTTTTTCTTTTTTTTTTTAAATTACATACATGATAATTTCAAATTTCCAATCGTCAACTTCCCGTTTCCCAGCTGTAACATAAATATGTTAATTCATGCTTTACGCTCGTGATGTTTACACTTTACGGACTTCATTGACAGGAATAACGAATGGATCCGACAATAGATACGTTTTACGGTCATTATTACAAATTGGTTCACCAATAAGATATGATATATAGATTGACTAGGTGTTGATTTGCATTGCGGGCGATGAATGCATCACAGGAAACGCTTAGCCTATCGATGTATCCGGTCGATTCTTTCAGATTTTGATTTTACCTTGATATGTAAATTCTTACCTTAACTACTGTTGCTTGTAATTGAGACATCACTTTATTGGTACAAAAAAGATAAACTAAAATCAAATTTTACGATTTAAAAAGATTTTTTATCTGCGCAACCACAAACGTTATTCCTCTAGCCGCATCCTATGTCGTGTACAAGCATAATTTGTCTCGTTTTCTTGAATTTGTTCCTGTGTACTTTTGACATGCTTAAAAATACCACAGACTTGGATAATTTCAATTTTGTTTACAATCAAAACTAGCATCTTATCTTTGTTTCTCGCGTCCTTGCTGTTGAAAGATGATTTAAGAATTTTCCTTAGTTTAACTATGTCATTTTTTTAATGTTGAAGTTCTTTATAGGACACAAGAGAAGATAATGTGAGATTCAACGTCTTGAAATGATTTGTTATGAGACATAATTATAACATTGACACTTATCATAAGCCCCATCTGGATACCCAATTTTGGATATATACATTTAGCATGTTTGATTAGCTCGCATTATTAACCGTAAGTACACCATCAAGGTATATGATATTATTGTTTTAACTGTGGATTTATTTTATTGAATTTTGTTTTCCTAGAAGTTTGTTTTCCATAACTGTAAAGAAAAAAGGTCTTCATTTAGAGGTACGCAATTAGCTTCCATTTGAATAATTGAATGTTACAAATCTTACCGTAACAAAAAAGATAAAGTCAAGCAAGAAATCTTTTATTGTCGGAGAATCACATTTTATTATTAAAACAGTTGAATTCAAGACCTGATTTTTATAGAGCGCACACAATTTTACAAGTTTATTTTGATCAGATTATACGGGAGAGTTATGTTTACGGTAGAAAAGTCATAACTGTCAACAGCGTTAACTACATGAACAATAGACTTTAGTTTGTCTAAAACTTAACTAGAACTTTATAAACTGACACATACATAAACTCATTATAGATACCAGGCTATAACTTTTGTACGCCAGATGCGCATTTTGTGTACAAAAGACTCATAAGTGACGCTCGAATAAAAAAAGTAAAAAAAAGTAAAAAAAAAGAAGTTGAAGGGCAATGAGGACTTAAAATTCCAAAAGGTTTTGCCAAATACAGATATTTGATAAATATTAATTTACCCCTGTAAATTTACAAACTTGCAAATACAACTCAGTAAAAAATGGAAATTGTAATGTCAAAGCCCAATTGTCTTTGTTTTATTATTTTGTCTTAAAACAATAAGAAAAAAAAACATTGCTTTCCTTGGTTGAATATTTTTGTTGTAAAATTTATCAATTTGAATTATACCGTTGATCTTAATAGAAAGTCATTCTAAATTATTCGAAGAAGGTGCAACTTGGGCAAACTCATTGCTTGAACTCTCAAAAAAATAAATAAACACGATTGCTATCCTTCATTAAGATACCCACATAGGATTAACAGACTAAAACAGACTAACTTTTTATTCTCCATCTGTAGTAAGATAATATAATAAATTCTTCTCTTGAGTACCGTGATTAAAGGTCCTTCAATATGCGAGATTAAATAGGTACCATGTTGAATTAGGAAAAATGTGTGTATCAAAAGTGGAGAAATATTATTGAGCAAACATATTGAGAAATGGATTCTCCAAAACGATTTCAGTCCTTCTTGTGGTAAACCTCATGATGTAACAATAGCCTTCAAGATTGCCAATGAAGTTACTTATAAAATTACGTCTTAATTAACTACATACCAATCACAGCATTTGAAACTATGCGATATGGATTATTGTTAACTTACTTCTGGGTTTATAAAATTGCCCGGGAAAATATTTGTTCTGAATTTTCAGTCATATATTTGATGTCCCGGTGTCTAAGGTAAGCAGGAATTGGCTTGTAAATAAACTCATCATAGGTACCAGGATTGAAATTTTATATTTACGCCAGACGCCTGTTTCGTCTACAAAAGTCTCATCAGTGACGCTCGAATCAAAAAATGTTAAAAAAGCCAAATAAAGTACGAAGTTGAAGAGCATTGAGGACCAAAAATTCCTAAAAGTTTTGCCAAATACAGCTAAGGTAAACTATTCCTGAGGTAGAAAAGCCTTAATATTTCAAAAATTCAAAGTTTTGTTAACAGTTAATTTATAATTATGAACATATCAATGATAACTCAAGTCAACACAGAAGTGCTGACTACTGGGCTGGTGATACCCTCGGGGAATTAAAACTCCACCAGCAGTGGCATCGACCCAGTGGTTGTAAATAAACTCATCATAGATACCAGGATTGAAATTTTATATTTACGCCAGACGCGCGTTTCGTCTACAAAAGACTCATCAGTGACGCTCGAATCAAAAAATGTTAAAAAGGCCAAATAAAATACGAAGTTGAAGAGCATTGAGGACCAAAAATTCCTAAAAGTTTTGCCAAATACAGCTAAGGTAATCTATTCCTGAGGTAGAAAAGCCTTAGTATTTCAAAAATTCAAAGTTTTGTTAACAGTTAATTTATAATTATATAATAATATAAAAAACTCAAACATTTCGTGATGGACCTGTACGTGACAATCAGAAGTATATACATGAATCACACAATGTCTTAATCGTGATAATATAGATCATTCTGGTTCAATTACCATATATCTGAATACTAGTTACCATAAATCAAATATATTATTATATGACCTTCTAACACCCTTTGTACTAGATATAACAATCACGCCTCCCTTTTATTGTTGTTTGAGTAAAATACTAGAAACTTTTAATTTTAATCTCAGTTCGAACCACACGTGTTTCTAGAATAACAATAATCAGATACATATAATCAGTATCTAAAAGAGGGGCGAAAGATACCAGAGGGACAGTCAAACTCATTGATCGAAAATAAACTGACAACGCCATGGCTAAAAAATAAAAAGACAAACAGACAAATAATAGTACACAAGACACAACATAGAAAACTAAAGACTAAGTAACACGAACCCCATCAAAAACTGTGGGTGATCTCAGGTGCTCCGGAAGGGTAAGCAGATCCTGCTCCACATGTGGCAACCGTCGTGTTGCTCATGTTATTACAAATCTGTTGGTTTAATAGCTTCCTTGTGAGCAGCAACCCTCTATCAAGGAAATCATGATAGGAAATACAAACCCGGGAATATCGTATCAATTGAGAGATAAATACTCCGTATGCAGGCGCTGCTGGAATGTTGTTACATAGAAATGGAAAGTTCACAATTGGGAAGCTGAAATCATCTTTTTTGTCGTAAAGTTTTGTTTTGTTATCTAAATTGACCTGAGTAAAATGTTCGAACAATTTCAAGTCAAATTTGCCATAAGGAGGTGCAACCATAACTCAAAACACATAATAGAAATTATGTCTGCCCAGACGTTCAAAATGTTTGGCAACAACGAATCGACTAACAGCCAAACCAATAACATTTACGGTACCAATTTTATTGTATCAGATGCGTTTGATTAATGTCTTCTCATGGTGTCTGTCTGTAATGACCGAGGCCAAATTGTTTAATATCCAAAAATCATTTGAAAAATTGAAGTGCTGATAAAACCAAAAGTACATTAAGTATAGCAAAATCAGGAAAAACCAGTGGTAATAATAATATATATATACATATATAATAATATATCCATATTTCCTTATCTTCGTTGTCCTCTAGCCACAAAATCCTATTTAAAATGTAAGGGCGGATAACAATGCTTCTTATATAGTTGCCAGGAAACAGTCGAATTATCAAAAATTACTATACTTCTTCAAGCGACGAAATACATTACTTATATCTTACCTAACTTAAAAGTATCTTACCTTACCTACATAGATTGGAAATGTACAAAATACGATTTGTTTCTCATGTCATAAAACCAATAATAATAATAATAATAATAATAATAATAATAATGATAATTATAATAATGATAATAATAAAATTAATAATAATAATAATAATAAAATTAATAATAATAATTATAATAATAATAATTATAATAATAAAATTAATAATAATAATAATAATAATAATAATAATAATAATAATAATAATAATAATAATGGATTGATGTTCACCTTTTAGCATAGTTCAAAATGCATATGTATATATTCGATCGTGAAAGTACGTGAGCAATTTATTTACACAATTACCTAGTGAAAGATTTATTCAATGATGGTTAGTCTAACGACAATCTTGCATCTACAAAACTTCCCTAGAAACGTAATAGAGACATGTTACATGAACTTCCGTTAACATGTATAGGTTAGCATCTTCACTTTAGGCAGTTGACATGCAGGTTGCTCTTTCTATGGCAAAAAGTCAGCACCATGTATAAATATAGTTGAGAGGTACAAACATGTGCATACCGAATCCTGATTTCCATAAGTAAGTTTTAAACATGTCTTTAAATCTGAAAATTTGACTATTTTATACTGTTTGCGCGTTATTTCATAAATATTTTTTTTTCAATTTTTATATTGGTATTTAAAGGAGCGTGAAGAAAACATTTATAATTTTGACGATGTTTTATGAATGATATATTCACTGGAAATTTTTTCGAGGACTTGTGTACTTCTTTGTATTCATCAAACAAAATTTCAAAAAAATAAATAGCAAACTCTTCAATTCCAGACGCTTTTCCAGGATTCTGATCACCAAGTGTATCTTAAAATGTTTTTGCTCTTGCATTGCAATTAGTACATGAAAAATAGATTTCAATTCATCGTCAAATTGAAGTGCATGACTCTTCTTAATCAACTCCTGAAATTTTATCTGACATATATATTTTAACCATACAAAATGGCTTGATTTGAAATAACATAAAAACATCATAAAGTAACAATTTTTTTATGCGTTTTAGTATACTTGTAACACGATTATATTGACTAAGTTGTTGCTATGTTTCCATTTTTTACATATTCTAGACGACGATGCAAGCCTTCATTCTTCTAACCCTTTTTGCACTTTTCGCTTGTGCATATAGTGCCAGTTATGGCGGTGGCTATGGTGGTAGGCGTAGTGGTGGATATGGCAGCGGATATGGCGGTCACAGTGGTGGTGGATATGGAGGAAGCAGCTATGGAATAGGTCGTGGTGGTGGATCTGGTGGAAACAGCTATGGAGGTTCCAGTTATGGAGCTGGTAAAGGATACGGAGGTTCCAGTTATGGAACTGGTAAAGGATACGGAGGTTCCAGTTATGGAGCTGGATATGGAGGTTCCAGTTATGGAGCTGGTAAAGGATACGGAGGTTCAAGTTATGGAGCTGGTAAAGCATACGGAGGTTCCAGTTATGGAGCTGGTAAAGGATACGGAGGTTCAAGTTATGGAGCTGGTAAAGGATACGGAGGAGGATATGGTGGTGGTCGTGGTTCATCTTATGGCAGTGGATATGGCGGTGGTCATGGTTCTAGTTATGGAGGTCTTAAAGGGTACGGAGGAGGATATGGTGGCGGGAGATGATATGGAGTGAAGCAGTACATTCGTCATAAAGGTAAAGAAAATAGTTCAATTATATAAAAAAGGTACCGTAAAGATTTCTTTCTGTAATGAAATTTGATATCTTTTTTTTTTTAACTGGGAAGTTTAATTGATGTGCATTGTTATAAATTAAAATTGGTTGTGTTTAGAAGGACCAGGGATACTAGGGATACTACTGTCATTATAGAAGGAAATACAATGTCTTTAAATTACACACTGTATAATACAATGGAGGAAATAATTTTTCTTAAACTGAGAACTGAATGTTTTGCTCCTAATGAATAGCTCACCTTAGCTGTATTTGGGAAAACCTTTCGGAATTTTGGAACCTCAATCTCTTCTCGTACTTCCTTTTGCCTTTTTAAATTTTGTTCATTCCAGCGTCACTGATGAGTCTTTTGTAGACGAAACGTGCATCTGGCGTAAAAACCTGGTATCTATGTTGAGTTTATTGGCCGTTATGGAATATCTGTTTCACAGATGACGACGGATATGTTCCGATAATCCTAACCACAATCCTTTTTTGTCCCCATATCCTCGAATGTGACCTACCGTATTATACTTATCACCGGATTTGTACTTATATGATCAACATGACGGTTGCCACATGTGTAGCAGGATCTGCTGACCCATCCGGAGCACCTGAAATCACCCTCGGCTTTTGATGGGGTTCGTGTTGCTCAGACTTCAGTTTTGTGTGTTGTTTTTGTATACTGTTGTATGTCTTTTATGTGTTTTGTCGTTTTTGACATGGCGTTGTCAGTTTATTTTTCGATTAATGAGATCGCCTCTCTTTTAAATAGTATTATGCAGATGTCATGAGTCAGTCAATTTCATATATGCGCCGTTCAGGCAATCATTTTTAATTTTCAAATAACGTAGAACCATTTTTCGTATTGTGCTCCTTTTGGTAAAGTCAAAACGATACTCAAAGCATGTTGACAATGGCTTAGTTTGTATTTAAGTTTATAACAGTTTAATGCATAAGCTGATAGACGACATAACTGATTTTAAGTAGTGCTCTCTCTTTTCATGCTATATATCTAGCTCGGGACAGTATATGAATTATTCCTATTTTGGATTGTAATCAATTTCAATTTTACCAACTTCATTGCCTGATTATAATCCTTTATGGTAGTAAATACTGACTACTAAATAGATATACATAAAAAGATTGAGTGTAACAAAGATTACTATACGGTTTTGTATTGTATTACTGTTATAACTCTAACTTGCACAAAACCCTAATATTGAAGAGAAAAAAGCACCAAGCAATATCATTCAATTCAGTTATCATATATACAATTAACGTTTTTATGGAGTAAGACCAACTAAAAGGGACAAAATTCCTAAAAATCAATGGTCCGTTTGTTTCCACCATTTTCAAAAAATGTATTTTAACATTCTCAATAAAAGTTAATTTTACTTCTTTTTCGCAAGAGTGCTTAAAAATCATTGTTGAAACTGAACATTCTAAACACAAGGTGCCGGCAATTGTGAGTTTGTGCAACAACTAAAATAACATTACTTAAAGGTTGACCTCCCTGAAGAGAGTTTCAAAAGAGCATAATTTATCAGCTACTACCCCGAAAATGTGTCCAAGTAGAGGGACATTTCTTTCTCTAGAACTTTATTCTAAACAGGTCAAGAGTTCATTTTGATACAAATCTCAAACTATTTAGATTTTCAATATATAATAGCCATGAATTACTGGCAAGTATAATATAAAAAGTATAATACTGATACTTTTTGTCTTTATATTTTCAGGATGAGAAAAGAGTTGTACCTCTGCAGCTGAATCCACGACCTTTCAGTAAAATAAAACCATGTGTGCCATTTTTTTTCTTTTTATTTTACGAGTATATAGTTCAGTAAGACTGCAACCACAAAACACACATAAAACCCAAAAGACACCTAGAGTACTTATAAAAGGATATACGTCAACGAAAAAGCAACCCAACAACACGTTGGCGTCTTAACTTATTTAATGTGCATGTTTCTTTGAAATTTTTAGTCAGTTATGTTTTATGTCTGTGATGTATGTTTACACAGTTTTGACTGCCGAATCCCAATTATTGTCACATTAACCTATTGTGTCTGTTTGGGGTGCTTGCCCAATTTTGTCATTATAACGGAACTATAAACAAGTGTCATACAAGTGGGAGGTTTAGCTAGCTATACAATCAGTTTTAACCCACCATTTTCTTCGGAAAATGCCTGAACAAGTCAGGAATATGGCAGTTAATTTTCACTTGTCCCGTTGATTGATACCGTTTAGTTTTGTCAGTTTTTATGGACTTCCCCTTTTTTGAAATTTCCTTGGAGTTCGGTATTTTGTCATACTTTTTTACACAAATGACCTACAAGACAATATGGTCATTGTGTATGTTTTGTTTTAAACAAAGGAAGCTGGAACGGTAATGAGCGGTAGACAAAAGTGTTGAAAGGGAAGGAGGCGCCATTACTTGTGTAAATTTAGTAATTCAATGTATTTGAGAGATTTTAAAAACAAATAAAAAGTAAATCAATTTTCAATCGACGTTTAATATTTAAGTATACCCGATATCACCCCTCCCCTTTCTCTTAGGGTCTTGATCGACTTTTAATATTTAAGTATACCCGATATCACTCTCCCCTTTGTCTTCGGGTCTTGATCGACTTTTAATATTTAAGTATACCCGATATCACCCCTCCCCTTTGTCTTCGGGTCTTGATCGACTTTTAATATTTAAGTATACCCGATATCACCCTTCCCCTTTGTCTTCGGGTCTTGATCGACTTTTAATATTTAAGTATACCCGATATCACCCCTCCCCTTTGTCTTCGGGTCTTATTCTCAATAGTAAGTTTTATGTAACGTGTATTGTTTACTGTAGTTTGTCTTTGCTCGTTTGGATCATTCTGTTCTTATATTTCTTTCGGTTTGTAATTGCAGCCCATTGTCATCTTCTTTTACTACAAATATTCAAAATATGAAAGGTCAAACGTACACTTGTGTCCTCGTTCCTTTGTACGTTTCTGAATAAAATGCCAATAATCGCAAATCTGTAGTACATCTTTGTTAGTTGTTGGAGTTATAGCCAGTCAAATACGTTGATAGCCCACAGATGGTTTTTCTAAAATCAAAAGTCAAAGTACAGACAAACATAAAAGTTAAAATAGGCTTAACAAGAAATCCAAACCGAATTCGACGTTGTAAGTCGATATTTTAAGCCTGCTCTGTATGCACCAATCATGTCGTGAGCTATTCCAAATTTTTATCAAACAAAAACAACAGTCACGCTTTTTAATATTGTTAAACTGTTGTTTTGAATTAAGACATTGAAAATAGCATTAACGGTACCAATGCTACTGCATCAGATGCACATTTTTACGATACATGTCTCCTCAAATGTGATCTCGAGTCCAAAATACTTGAATTCCTTATCGAGTAACTTTTAAGTGAACATTTTTCATCTTCATGAAAAGTTTTTGAACGTTATATTTCGTATAGGTTAGACAATATTTGGTCGTGTTTTATGAATATCTAAAGCCCAAGGCGTAGCCGAGGGTTTTAAATGTTCATGTAACATGACCAAGTATTGTCTGTCCATTTTAGAACATACTCACACCTTCGAGTGACATTACAAAACTATCCTTTCCCATTGTAATATTCAAACCTTAATAAGAATTCTTTTTTTAATAATTAAGTGTTAACTTGGTTAATAAAAGGAATGTATATCTTATGTAAAGGTCATTTCAATGGATGGAATGAAATAGCACTGAGGTAGTTTTGTGAGGACAAAGGGGATAAATCGTTCAAAAATTTAGTTTTTTCTGCTTCAGGTAAAATTTAATACTTATATATCTTAAATGTCTTGATTATAAAAAGCACACAATGTTATATAAATCAGCTTTTTGAAATTTGTACATTTTTTGATAATTGTAAAACTCACTCAATAAATATTAGAATTACGATCATTCAACATCAGATGCTTACTTTTTAATGATGAATATACTTGTATTGTTTTTTTCGAAAAAGGTTTCTTCTTTGCTTTATATATCAGCAGCCATTGTATTCTTTGAAAAAAAACATTGACTCTAAGGTCTGGTATTGAAATTAGATTAAAGATTATATTACCTACGCCTTTGTCCCATTTCAATGTTTTGGTTTTGTTCCATATATACAGTCCGCCAAAAGTTAAGCACCACCTAAATATAACTGGCAATATTTTTTTTATCTATTTCGAAAAAAATATTTATGTTTGGTGTTATAAATTGCCTTTAACATACACTAAGAAAATTCATTACGACCAAAAAGATTGAACTTCGATAAACCCGCCAAGCAACTTTTTATTAAAGGTCAACTGCACTTTGACAAATGCACTGTTTCGATGCCTTTAAATCATCTTCCTACTGTCCCGCGTACAGGTAAAATTTGACCTTCACCAAGTCCTTGTGAAATATGACAAGGCGTAAGTTATCTGTGACTGAACGTTGGCAAGCAATTGGCATGTCAAATGCCGGTAGGAGCACTAGGAGCACAGGTAACCATTTCAATGTTAATCACACCATCATTGTCAGACTTTTACAACGTCATGATGACACAGGAACTGTAAATGATAGACCAAGGTCCGGAAGACCCCGTTTAACTAACTGTCGTGATGACAGACTGCTTATTGGTCGTGCTAAAGCCAACCCATTTACTCCTGCTCCACAGCTTAGAAACCACTGGCCTCCAGGTGGTCGTGTTAGTGTTCGAACATTGCTCCGTCGACTTCATAGAGGCTACCTAAGAGCACGTCGTTTTGTGAAGATACCTGCCCTAACAGCCAGGCACCGTATAAACAGGTTCCAATGGGCTAATGACCATCGACGCTGGAACATGAGAAGCTGGCAAAAAGTTCATTGGTCAGATGAGAGTCAGTTTCTGTTACGACCAATAGACGGCAGAATACGCGTTTGGCGGGATAATAAAACTGCCTATGACCAAAACAACATTTGAACAACGACTGCATTTGGTGCTGGTGGTGTTACAGTATGGGGTTGCTTCTGGTACTGTTGTAAGCTGGGTATGCATATTCTGCAGGGTAACATGAACGGACAGACATACAGGGATTTGGTGCTTAGAAACATTGTAGTCCCTCATTTTGATAATCATCTACTTGCGTCAAGACCCTTGTACATGAACGACAACGCTAGATTACACAGACCAATGATTGTAACCGAGTACAAAGAGCAAGAAGCCATTGACACTATCTTTTGGCCTTCCATGTCTCCAGACATGAACCCTATCAAACATGTCTGGGACGCCATTGGCAGAAATCTCAATCGCAGAGAACCCACCTTTGCAAAATCTTGGCGATTTAAGAGTGGCAATTGTTGATGAATGGAATAGATTTGCTCTCAACTAAACTTCAGAAGGCTTGTACTGAGTATGAGACGCCGTGTACCGGAAGAGAGGTGGTTACACATTATATTGACTCAAATATTGACATAAAATTTGCCGAACATACCAAAGATTATTTGTAGAGACTTTTAATGATATTGGGTGATTAATTGTTGTAAAAAAATAAAATCACAGTGAAACTTAAATTCCGTTTCTGATTTGTGTAATTTTCACTATTTCTACGATCCGCAAAATTCAAATGCATAGAAACTGCATAAGTGACCAAACTTAAGTTTATGGTTTGTTTATGGTATATGTTAGCAAAATTGCTACATGAATATTTTCTCTTTTTCGGGGATTAACTGATTTTTTTAAATGAAAAAAAATTCGATGCAATAAAAATAGGTGGTGCTTAACTTTTGGCGGACTGTATATGTACCATTATAAACGTTTGCAATATTACAAATGTTTTTTATAATTCTATTCTCGTTCATCTTTGATCAGTATGCTGTTTTCCTATGGAAATTGCCTCAGGGGATTGTACACTTCATTAGTGTAGTTATTTAAAAGAGTTCACTTTCATAATTAATCTACAATGAAAAGTCATGCATGTAAAGCGTGTTATAGTCCATGGAAAGCCATGTACTATGATTTTCCATTGGACGAGAAGGGGTGAGTGTTCTAAAATTTGAACAGAAAATATTATTCTTTACTTAAACCATTGCCGTGACGTCAGCCTTTTCCTTTACCGTGGTTTCTTTTTCTAGAATCAACGCTTCCTAAATCTGTCGCTGAAATATTAGCACATACTTACAACTTCTCGTCCAATCAAATTGCTTGAATTTGCCCTCTAATTTTCATAGTACATACTTTTTCCGTGTACTAAGTAACTACGCATGAATGACCACAAGGGTAAGATTTCATTGTATCGTAATCAAGATATTAAAACAAAAATTGCCACTGGCTATTTTAAATTAAATGCTGTGTTCCAAATTAAATAACATAGTTTGTAATTAGTTTTTACATTGATTTTTTAATACCTTTGGATCTTAAAAAAGTTTTTGACGATTGCAAGTTTCTTTCATTTAAATAAAGAGTAACAAATATGGTTCTTTATACCTTGATTAGAGAACAACGCCATCTTAAAATTATGATTTATCATCCATGCAATTACTTTGTACACAAAAAAGTGTGTACTATGAAACCTTGTAAAGGGAAATTAAGGCAACTTGATCTATTTCGTCATGAATTGATTGATTGGTTGATTATTGGTTGCTTAATGTCCAGTGGCAAATATTTCATGCATGTTCAGGACGATGTCATGAATTGAAAACCCGTAATAATTTCTGAAGAGAATGTGCCACCTATATATCTATGTATATACATGTTCTGATACATCTTTTAGTTTTTACTTCGAAAAAAAATATAAACCCTAGTATCTTTGATCTATTGGTAGTTGCTTTTCAATGA